TACAGCAATCTGTATACGGGGTAAAGTTGGGAGTTCATAACCCGCTTGAATCAAACTGTGAAATATGATGTATTAAGAACTATGTAATGTTTTGAATGACCAACAATAAAAAAAAATTAATGCATTGATTTCCATCACAAATCTTACTTTTTAAAAAAATTATTTTTATATGACAGCAGAATGCATTACAATTCTTATTACATATATAGAGCACAATTTTTCATATCTCTGGTTGTATACATAGTATCCATACCAATTCGTGTCTCCATACATGTACTTTGGATAGTAATGATCATCATATTTCACCATCATTAATTATCCCATGCCCTCTCTCTTTCCCTTCCCACCCCTCTGCCCTATCTAGAGTTCCTCTATTCCTCCAATGCTCCAACTCCCTATCCCACTATGAATCAGCCTCCTTATATCAAAGAAAACATTTGGCATTTGGTTTTTGGGGATTGGCTAACTTCACTTAGCTTTATCTTCTGCAACACCATCCATTTACCTGCAAATGCCATGATTTTATTCTCTTTTATTGCTAAGTAATACTCCATTGTGTATATATGCCACATTTTTTTTTATCCATTCATCTAGTGAAGAGCATCTAGGTTGTTTCCACAGATTAGCTATTGTGAATTGTGCTGCTATAAACATTGATGTGGCTGTGTCCCTGTAGAATGCTGTTTTTAAGTCCTTTGGATATAGATGGAGGAGAGGGACAGCTGGATCAAATGGTTATACTGTTGGTGGGAATCCAAACTGGTGCAGCCAATATGGAAAGCAGTATGGAGATTTCTTGGAAAATTGGGATTGTAACCACAAGTCTCACTTTTTAAAGACTTCTTAAATAAGACAAACCCATCCATCAGGAAAAGCCCTGCCTTTTAAGAATCATCACTATAGACCAGGAGTTCCTTGAGAATTGGCATTGTCTTATTGATCACTGTAGAATTGTTTTTGGTACTGAGTAGGAACTTAATAAATGCGTGTTAATTGAATAGATAAATGAGAAACATTTGTTGTGCTGTAGTTTTAAATGAGTACAGCTGTACAAAGCTTGCCAGATCATAGTGAAAAGAATGTGGTTGCCTTGCCGTTCATACTGCTTGTCTCGGTTTGGGATTCATATCAATTTGGACAACCTCCTCTGCAGGAGAGTGGCTGAAGAACTTCTCAGCAGAACCAGACTGCTATTGTGCTGAGATCCTTCTTCTGCATGAAGATATTTTTATATGTGGGAGGAGAGTACTTCCTTTGCATGTCTGAGCTATAAAGTTCCCTATCCCTGTCTCTAAACTCTTGTAAACAGTTTGAAAAAGAATAGCATGGAACTGCCCTAAAGAAAGTCGGGACTACTTTGCATTTGTATTCCAGGCTAAACAAGAGATTCACAAATTCTCCATCTCTGAAAATATTCCCATTTCTGCCTTAAAGAGCTGTACCAAGTACAGCTGAACAAATAAATAAATAGATAGATAGATAAATAAATAACAGAGGTTTGTGCAGACAGGTTGGGGGAAACGGTGAGACTTGCCTCCCAGTGTAGAAGAATATGAAGCAGTCTTCACTTCTGAGCCAAAGGTCTCATGCTAAACTTCAGCAGTGCTCTGAGCACCAGTCAGCTATGTGTTAGACACTGCATGACATTCGAAAGGACCTAATGTTTCCCCTTAATTGACTCCAGAAGGAACACAGAGCTTCTGTTACTTCATTTTCTTTCATTCCTCCTTGTTTTATATCTACCCTCAAGCCCTGACCCTAAAACCAAAATGTTACTGCGGTTATAAAACCAATGAATAAACCCACCGTGGAGAAAGGACAGGCCTAACTTAGGATCGTTTCCTATCAGGGCATGTTGCTCCTTTGAAAGGACCCATCGAGGTGCAAGTGTGAGTGTGCTCAGGGCACGGTGTACAGCATGCTGTGGAATGTCTCCCTTGCAGCTTTGATAGCAGGGAAAGAAGGAAGCATTGGGAATCTGTGCATCACTTTTAAAATAAAAAACCTAAAAAACCATTTAAAAATCCATAATCTCTATTGTCATTAGGAAAGGTAATTGATGTTCACCCAACATTTTATTTGGTCTAAATTTTCTTCTTTGTTCTTTTTCAGGGGCACAAATACCAATGTCTTCTGGTGGACTCTTAGCAAAAGGTAGAAATTAATACAATCAAATTTGCTTTCCTTTTCAGTGTCCATTTCCTGCCACATCTGTCATTTGTGATCAAGATTTGCTCTCTCACACTCTAGGTTAAACATCATTTAGAGGCAGCTGTCGATGTCCTGTTTTACTAGAAAGATATTGTGTGATTTCCTAGACACCTAGAAAATGGAATTTCTGCCCCCCCCCCATTTTTTTTCCTTTTACACTGTGAGACAAAATGGTGCTTCTTGGATACAGGTTTCATTACTGTGTTTTGTATTTGAGCATAATTGGTTGTCTCACTTACATTTTAGGGGAAACTAATCCCTGGCTAACTTTTAAATAATACAACAGTGTAAGCAGAGGTGGTTATAATTCTAACTATTTCAGTATTATAGAGTTAAATAATTGTAGGTTTTCTCTAGCACATATTCTCTCTCTCTTTCTTGTTCTGTGCCAGGTGTTAGTCTATGAACCCTGCATTAATTAATCATTTAGAAGTTAGGAAACCTGTAAAGGTTTGTACAGTAGGTAGTAATCACACCATTCAGGCCGTCTGTCTTCAGAAACAGTACTCTTAACCAGACACATAGAGGCCTTGTGGATGCAAAATCCTGGATCAGATATGTGATTTGCAAATATCCTCACCTAACCTCTGGCTTGTATTTTCATTTACCGACCAGAATTTTTCAAAGAGCAGCAGTTTTTAACTATGATGAAATCCAAATGATTAGTGTCCTTTTTTATGGATTTTGTTTTTAAAAAATATTTGATTAGGGGCTGGGGATGTGGCTCAAGCGGTAGCTTGAGTTAGATCCTCAGCACCACATAAAAATAAAATGAAGATGTTTTGTCCACCGAAAACTGAAAAATAAATATTAAAAAATTCTCTCTCTCTCTTAAAAAAATATTTGGTTAAACTAAGATTAGAATTTTTTTGTTTGTTTAGAAGTCACATGGTTTTAGGTTTTAAAATTAGGGCAATGACCCATTTTAAGTTCATTGTTTATATGGTGAGAAATATTCACTAAAGTTTACTTTATATTTATGGATATACAATTGTTTAAACATCATTTATTGAAAGGACTCTTGAGTTTCTACTGAATTGCTTTTGCACCTCTGTCAAAAATCACTTGTCAGTGTACATGAACAAACATGTCTCTATACTCTGTTCTGTTCTATTACATTCCATTCATCTATTTGGCCATTTTTATGCCAATAAATTTTTTTTAAAATTGTAGTTATATAATGATTCTCAAAATCAGGAGGTATTAACCTTTCAACTTTGTCCATTTTCAAAGTTGGCTTGTCTATTTTAGATCTTTTATATTTCCATGAGTATTATAATAAGATTACCAATTTTTACAGAGATGGCTATGATGATTTTATTGAATCTTTATTTGAAAAAAAAGACTTTAAACAATATTGTATCTTTTAACAAATGAATAATGTATATATCTCCATTTATTATACATTTTAAAATTTCTGTAAGTAGTGTTTTATAGTTTTGCATACCCTTTTTCCCAATTTTTATCAAGTATTTCATATATTTGATGCTACTGCAAATGGTTTTTCTTTAATGTGAATTCCTACTGTTCATTGCTAGTATATAGAAATGTAATTGACTTTTAGTATTGATCTTTTATTCTTTAATCTTCTTTAAAATTCATTTATCAATTAAGATAATTTTTGTATATAGCATTAGATTTTCTATGAAGATGATCGTGTTATATAAAAAAGATTTTTTTCTACCTTTTCAGGTTGGAAATCTTTCATTTCTTGTGCTTGTCTTATTGCAGGATGAAGAATGTGGCAGTTGAATAGAATGTTGAATTTCTACTTCTACTTATTGGAGACATCTTGTTTTAATCTTAGGGAGATGATCCAGGATACCTCCATAAATTATGATATATGCTACTAGGTGATTTTTCCTCACAGATCCAAACCCTTTTTCAGGTTAAGAAAATTAATCTCCAGTATTTCTTCATCTCATTCAAGCTTTTAAATTTACTAATATAAAGATGTTTATAACATTCCTTTACTTTGTAGTATCTGTAGAATTCATAGTGATGTTACTTTTCTTATTTCTAATATTAAAAGTCTGTATTTCTGTTTTTATTTTTAATAATTATAGCAAAAGATTTATAAATTTTATTAAAATTTTCAAAACACCAGTTTTTAATTTCATGAAATTTTTCAATTTTTTTGTTTCATTTTTCCCCTGATATTTATTATTTCCTTTTTATAATTACTTCAGATTCAATTCACTTTTTCTTTTCTAGTATCTTAATGTAAAAACTGAGGTTACTGATTTGAGGCTGTTCTTGTTTTTTTTCTAGTAAACATAGGTGTTTTAGAACTATAAAATTTTCTGTAAGTACTGCTTTGAGAAGATTTCCATAAATTTTGATATATTTTGCTTATGCTTTTGTCCAGTTAAAAGTATTTTATATTTTTAGATATGATTTTGACTTATGGGTTATTTGAACTGTTAAAGTATCTACATATTTGGCAATTATATGGAAATATTTCTATTATGGATTTTCTAATTTCATTGTGGTTAGAAAGCATACTTTATATTACTGGTAACCTTTTATATTTATTGAGATATTTTAGGGCCCCAAATAATTTAGTTTGATAAATGTTGCGTATGTGGTTGAAAAGAATACATGTTGTATCCTATTTGTGGGTATTTTACTCTATAAACATTAATTAGATCAAGTTGTTTTGTTAATGTAGTTCTTTTCTATAGCTTTACTTTTTGCCTTCTTGTTCTAATTGATTATTGAGAGAAGGATATTGAAATATCTTTTAATTATTGTCTTCTATTTCTAGCAATATTCTTTGTTCTTGCACCTATTTCCCTAATATTAACACTCTAGCTTTTTTAAAAAATTAGTATTAACATGATATGTATTTTCCATTCTATGTTAGTTAACTTACTTGTGTTTTCATGTTTAAAATTTGTTTCTTGTAGGCAGCATATAATTAGCAACCCATCATATATTTTCAGAAGATGGTCATGACTCGAATATTTTTCCTCGTGTGGAAAAGAAATCTACCAGTATGTGACTTCTACCCTGATTTTGTTCTTTTATCTCATATATCAATCTAAAAATTATTCTCTTCAAATATTTGGGGATAGATATTTATTTTCATCTCTTTCAGGGCTTTTGATCTCTCGTTGACTTGATCACTCTCTTCTGTGAGAGTGTCTATCTGTTTTTAACGTGTAGCTCCCAGAAATAAACATCATGATCTAGAAGTGATACACCTACTTATAATTGCAGATTACCTAAACCTTTCCAGCATCCAAGTCAGACTTTTGGTTTCTATTGAAATTCTGTCCAGCTAGGTCTCCCTAATCTGATGCTGAGACAATGGGTTTATTGTAATATGGGTGCAAGAAATTTACATTTCCATTTATTAAATTTCACCAACGGTATATCATTAACAATGCTTAGTGTATTACTGCTTATAAGCACTTTCCCAGACATTATCTCACTTAATCCTTCCAACATGTTGACTTTGGCCCATAGCTGCTGCTTGGCTTCTAAGATCACTCCCAGTTGATAATCTTTCCTCTACTCACTACCGACACTGGAGTTTTCAACACAACCTAAGAACTGAAGTGGGATGGACCAAATTCTCCCTCCTATGTATACAGAGCAATTTCCTAGGCAAGGGGGATGCAGTGATATACAGTGTGGTCACTGTATGAACTGAAACTATATAGTTGAGTTGAGAGAAAGCAAATAAGAGCAAATGGGAGATATTTCAGCATATATTAGCAGATTAGAAGATTAGCAGCATATATTCCAAAAGAACAATATTTTACCCCAAATGTATGTAAGTGTTCTTTTTTTGTCTGTGTGCCTATAACAGTAGTTAAGTGTGGAGATGAAACTTTCCTCAGATATTTGTCAAGTCACCGATTAGATGGAATACCTGCATTGGACTAACCTCTTTTAGTTTTCATACGTTTGTATTAGCCTTTGCAAGTTCTGCCCTCACTACTGAGTCCTTCTCACTGTGAAAATATGAAATCTTGTGGCTTAAGGTGGCATTCTCTGATCATTGAGCTGCTACCTGGTCTGCATGACTAGCCTGCCTGTCATGCAGCTGAAGCATTGTTCACTAGGTTACTCTCATCTCCACCTCATTCCAATGCTTCTTTTCCCTATATAAGGATACCACTCTGTCTTGTTTGTTTCCTTGTCATATTTTCACTGTCTTAGGTCATTGATGACATGCAGGACTGGTTTTGATTTTCTCCCTTCACTATAGTTTGAATTCTGCCCAGTTACAGACTATACATGTTAGTCTATAGTCTAATATCTATAGGTATTAGACTATATATATATAGATATTAGATTATATTAACACAAGTTTTCAAGTATGCAACTTTAACAGAATATTCTGAGGTTAATTGTCTGATAGCTAAAAAAACTGCCAAATTTAAATCAAGCAAGTCATATGTTATCTGTGATATGTCTTCTATTTATATAAGAAGCACACTTTAACATCAAATACAAACGTTAACGTATAGCTGGCTTTCAAAAAACTTCAAAAATAATGCCTGGAATTTGTTATGTACATTTTGCATTAGGCATAGCTAATATTCCTATTGAAAACATTTAGACACTCTTACAGCTCCTAATACTTTAAATGAGGTTATTAGTTAAGGTAGTCTTATCAGAGTGCTTATGTGTGTGTTTATGACTGCATGTGTGTCTCTGAGGGGAAAATGTGTCTTCATGTGTGTATGTGCAGGTGTGTGTGTATATGGAGAACGCAGAGTATGAGGAAGAACCTTACTTCTGTAAAGCTGATGTTACTTCAACACTAATAAATGTAAAGCACAAACAAAAATAATATGAAGTACTTCCTATTAGTACTAATAAAACAACCGAATAAAGATAAAAGCATAAATGCAAAAGCCCTCTCTTATAATCCCTTCATTCCCACTCTTACCATTTAGGTATGACTTACATAGTTAACAAACTTAATAGGTACAAAATAGTTTTAACAAACTTAATAGGTACAAAACAAACTGTAGTTTTTAAAAGTTGAAAAGCAATTGCTGATGTCTGCTGAAATGGCTCATCTTATCACTATGTTTACCCTCAGGAATGGATATGGATATTTAATTGAACCTGCACATTTATTTGCTTTCTTCATCAACAACATTCCTTTCCACATGAGTAGACCTCTGCTTTGCATGCCAATCAAGAAGCATAATTTATCTAATTTTTACCACAGAACTACTCTTTATAGTAAGAATTTTTACTTGCATTGACAAATATAGAAAGGAAACTTCAGGTGGTTGAGCAATTTGCTGTAGGCTATTCAGCTAGAAATGGTAGAATCATGATACTGATCCAGTTGACTGCACAGCCCACATTTTCCCACTCCTGTAGTGCTTCTCCAGTCGCTCCTGGGTTCTTTCCTTCCTGTTCTGTTTACACTGTGACTCATAAATCTGATGACCTCTTCTCTATGATGATTCCTGATAACTACCTTAATACTATATAGCATTTAATGGACAACATTTCCAATAAAATGAAAGACTTATTAGTGAACTTTGTATTCTAACCCTACCTTCCCAGAACTTAGAAGAATGTGTGAATCTTTCTTCTGTTTCAGGGGAAGCACTTGAACAATGACTTAGCCAGCTTATCTATTAGCATTTCCACAAAAGCATAAATCCATTTCTATGTCACATTTGGTAGTCCTGTGTCAGGCCTATATTGCTTAATCATATTCTGCCTTCAGAAACTCTTTGTTGAGACTCATATTTCTGCATTCTCTAAATAGTCCGAATTAAAGAGAGGAACCACCAAGTGTTGCTCAGGGTCCTGTCTTAGGAGAGTTAAGAAATGGTGGCCCTTCTTGGTCACCATAGGTGTTCTAGGCATATATCTTGGCTTCTGCTACAATACGAAGTCCAGCTTCATTCATGACTTGGTGATGCTGTTTATAAAAAGGAATCCCTGTTGAATTTAATTTTAATTTGATATCATTATATTATGATCCTGATAAAACATTGATCAGGATCAATATCCTAAACAGCATTGAATTTACTGTGCTTTGATAAATGAATAACAAGTTTCTTATTTCCACTTTTCTCTACTCAGGCAAAGTTTAGGATTTGTGGTTCTTTCTTAGAGTATCTCTAGAAAATGAATATAAACAGCATCTGTAAAAGTCCTGTGGCAATGAAATGCATTTCAAATCCAAAGGACCAGAACAAATCCAGAATGGTAAGATTATACTATATGGTAGAGGCAGGATCACTGGATAAAATACAAGTCAGTTAAATTTGAAAAATTTCAGATAAATAACAAACACTCTTATATTAAAAGTAAGTCTTGTATTGCATCTATATGACATTTGTCTGAAATTCAAATTTAGCTGGGCATCTTGTATTCTTATAGTTAAATCTTACAACCCTAGGAAAGATAAAAGGAGAGAAATATATAGAGGGGCCACTCTATGCTAGATTGAAGGAGGATGACTTTGTGTAAACAAGGTGAGGAAATGGTGAAGTTAAGTCTAGGCAAGCTTGGAGACGTTCAGGTGTGAAATGTGTAAGAGACACTATGTGAGCTGGGGATAGGAATGGAAGAATGTCAGACTGAATAAGGGTGAATGCTTGTTTTTTAAATGGAAAAGTTGTATGTAGATGTAGGAGTCAAATGATAGAGTCCAGTTGAGAGTTTCATTATACAAGAGGAGAAAAAGAAGGAATATCAAATATGTATAGCTTATGAGAAAATGAAAATATTATGGGGTCTAAAGAGATTGGTTTTAGTAGAAGAGACAGGTTCTCTCCACAGTAACAGAAAGGCAGAAGAATAAAAAGGGTTCCATGTGGGTAGTTTTATGTATTAAATATTAGGGAAAACATTTGGAAATTCTCATCTGATAGTTTCTTCCTTCTCTTTAAACTAAAGCATATCCACACAAATTCACACCAGGAGGAGCAAGATTATTTAGAGGTTGGAAGTTGAGAAAGACTTTACTTAGTCACTGCAGATTTGATTGAACAACCCAAGAAGATGTCAAGCAGGGTTAGTGGCCCGTTTGAATTTTAATCTCAACAATTTCACAGTCATAAAAATACTACCTTTGCTCGATGAAGAAAAAAAATGTAAAAGGGAACAAAGAAGAGGAATTAATCAATTGAGGTAGAAGGGAAGAGTCCAAGAAGGTATTTAAGAGGAGCAAGCAGCTCTGCTGATCTGACCTTGACAGATGGTTAGGATTTTGCTTTCAAAGGTATAGAAATGGAGTATAATGCTTAGTGTACAGGGAAATAGAAGCCGAAAATAAAAGGTCTATTATTTAGTCTCCATTGTGCCCATGATAAGCTTAAATTCTTGCTTTAAGGGAACAGAAAAAAAGACTATAAATGTTCTATGAAATCACAGGAAAAAAATTACTGAAGGTTCTGATAGTTGAAAAGTCTTCAGAGAAGAAGGACTACACTTGGTAGAGGGGTAAGGCCTTCTAAACTAGAAGCACCGTGGAAAAGTCCCTTAGGAAAGATGGCACATGGAAAGGTCAACTTTAGCTCAGGCATGTTCTTTAGATATCTCCGTAATTTTTTAATATTGAGCTTTTTTCATCCTAACAATGTAGACATTTGAGATTTATAATCTTCCTAGAAAGCCTACCATATTTATATTTCTTTTCTTTCTTTCTTTCTTTTTTTTTGTATTGTACCTTTATTTTTTAATTTATTTTTATGTGGTGCTGAGGCTCGAACCCAGGGCCTCATACATGGTAGGCTACTCCTCTATCACCAAGCCACAACCCCAGCCCTTACCATATTTATATTTCAACTTTATAGTTTTCTAGGGACTTTCTTGCACTTGGACATGGAGGAACCCAAAAAGATGAGCTCATCCAGAAAATATGTCTGGAATCACTGGATAAGCACTGTGAGTCAGTGATGTTAAAGATGGCACCAGATGCTGTTTGGTTCAACATCAAATGGTAGGCCAACCATGGCTCCACAGGAGAGAGTCTAGAGGGAAAAGTGAGTGCTGTGGCAGGAAG